GCATCCATTACGCATGTGCCACATTCACACCTACGATCCTACTTACTAAGTCTGTTGTAAGCGGCTACTATAAGATCTTTGCATGCTTCATGAAACCGCTCTCTTTGCATTAGTCACAGTGCATGCCAGAAGTGACAGCAAAAATGGCATCGGGGTCGCTTGCATCAGTTCTTCATGACTATGGTGATGCAAATTGTTAATCAGATCCTAGTGAACGTCTACGTCCATAAAATAAAACACAGTAGACTCAAAAGAACAAAAAGGATAAAAAGGGATGGTATGAATGGTTAGGATAAACTAGATCTATCCTTGGCGTGAAAAAACTGAAAAACCGAATCGGAAACTGTGGCAGTCAACTATTTCTGCACAGATACACGTTGCGTTTACTCCTATTTCTTTTAAGTTTTCATTCACAGACGGCAAATCACACACCAGCAAAATGAAATGTTTCTTTCAAACGCATTTAACAGAGCTTCTACAGTTTTTAGTATTTCTGACGGAGATTGCAACCTTAATGCTGTGGCGTTCCTTAAAATACAGACGAAACATGTCCGTTAAATGCCTCTGTACAAGTTACAATTATCTAGCCATCGCATAAAAGTTAAAGGGAACTGATAGAAAACTGTACATGTTTTACCACTGGGTCGGTATCTGGGGTGTCAAATATCTCGTAAAAGGACAATTTAATTAAACATAACTTACTTGTTTGTCACACGGAGGAAGTCACCTTAGCGTCATTAAAAACCTCAAGCTACTTCTAAACAATTAAATTCTGATCCCTAGTAATTTTGTCACTTTTCAGAATGGAGATTCTCCTAAGCACAGAAGTTAAAACTTTGCCGGCTCGTTGCTGAGTCTTCAACGACCGACAGTGCCCTAACGACCGAACTAGCGACGGGATAGATTTAATAGAAAATAGAGTTGGATCATCTCTAGGAGTCCAAATAAAATATGATTACTACTATGTGTCTTAACCATCTGCTTAAGCCAAAGAAATTTATGCAAATTAGACGACATCTCATAAATCGGTAAGACCTCCAAAACAAAAGGATCCAAGGACAAGTTTTCATGTCCTTTATACTACCCCGTAATTCATGCACTCAGTCTGTTTTATGCACTAGGGTCGAACGTCCTCGTTTTTAGTGTACCACGAGTTTAAATTACTTGGCCATTCTACATTTCGCCCCTCCTTTTTTCAGCATGCTCGTGCTACACCACCGAAAAAATTGTGGAATATACGACATTGTTTTGTGGCATCACTTATGCCTCCGGAATTTGTATGGGATCACTATCAAGAGGCACAGACTAGTATATTCAAGCGGACGTCCTCGGTCGACTGCTCTGGACTTGAATTCCACTCATTCTCGACTACCAATCGCTTCTCGTAACTCAGTCCCCACAAAACACGCTAACTCCTATGATGGGCATTAGTGCCATAAAAACATTAATCTAATGTATGAAAACTTATCCCCTGTTTGCATTGCCTAAGTGCTCCTTAACACGTCAACATAATTGAGAAATTTAATAAAGTGAAGTCTGTAGTATTTGTAACAACTTGATCTTTCCTATAAACCGGCACGCTTCATGTAACGTATCGTTATCTGAGGATATATTATCATCATTATTTGATGACATGGCAATAAAACCTTCTGTTCAGACCAATCTGTAGGTAGATTTTATCAAGACACAAAAAGGGACAAAATGTCCGATAGATATCACTACTCTTTTAAATTTTCCAAACAAAACAAATAAACGGGCTACTAGAAGCTTGCTTCCTTTAAACACCTGTTAACTGATACTCCTGACTAAGGGTAATCTTGATGTTTTTGCGTCTCAGTGAATTTCTTCAAACTTTATAAAATTACACAGCATTTGAAATCTACTTTAAACATTGCAGAAATTTATTTCACTGGACTATCTGTAACTCATGAACCTAGACATTTACATATTGTGATTGAAGCAAACGTACTATGTGCCTTTTCCTTTCGTATTAAAGTTGAATATTTCTGAACTAGTTACCACATTTGAATGCGTCTGTTTATATTCTATTCTTCGCCAATCCCACGAATTTTCACAGAATGACTTATGATCTACTCTCTAACCTGCTTCTTCATGATACTATTCAGTCCGTTAATCCTTCGCTCAAAACCTGCTCCCTCTTCAATAAAATCGGTTGCCGTAAGTTCTTTTTACTTCTGAACCTGCTGACTCTCAACTATCTGACGAGTTAGAATCATTACCAATCCAAGTCTGAAGTCCTGTCACGCTGTATAAACATGTAATTTCTTGTTGACTACCACCAACCACCATCTTATGTGATGATAAGTGCTAATTCATCTGACATTCGATCACTGGCGATGTCCTATTTTTACATTGGGATCAGTTGTTTTCCTACCATTCTTGAAACCAGATAATCGGAAGGCTCTTTGACATTTAAGTTATTTCCGATTTAATGTCAAATATGCTAGGGTGCACATGTTTATTATTTCTGCTGTCGTTGCAAGAAAAATTAGGGATTCACAATAAATCTGTAATCGTGTTATTATACTTATTTAGTAAAATTGAGAGATACACAGATCATTAAAAGTTAATATCATTGGAAAAGCCCTACAGATCTGATACAATAATCGGTGTGAAAAACAAAATTATCGTTAGGACTCATATAAAATCGTGGTGGACCAAATATGTCAATTCCAATGAGGATAAAGCTGTCACAAAAGCTGGCTGGTTCGCTAATATGCTGAAACATAAATTATCCAGACATGATTGATATAATCCAAAATGTGATTCCAAATAATTCCCTTAATGAGGATAACAGTGTGATATCTAAACATAACCAGCAAATATTTTACAGTTTTGTTATCGTGACGGTTGATAGGTGAGAACGAGAAGTATATGCGTGCAACAGTGTATTTGCGAGCGATGATCTATTTTTCAAAGTCAAGACTTTTAAACGATAATTTTACGGTCAGTAATGGTGGTTAGAGGCCCTCATGATTTAAAGGATGCAGTCGGCAGATGCAGCTTTTCGTCTACGGCATTGTTTTGAAACGGGACGACAACTGCTTACACCTGTTGCGGAAGTTTAGGTAAGAAAAGTTGTTTGAATAGGCCCTCACCGAAAGTCCTTTGACCAATATCTTCTTTCAGCCTTAGCAACATGTCTGTCGCAGAACCATGTTGCAAGTCGATGGTATTAAGGAGTTGGTCAAACCTTTGTCGATAGGTTAGCTCTCCGAGTCTCAGAATCGATCGTTTTAGCGTTATGTATGGTTCAAAACATCGCTGGTCAACATACTAGGTTTCACGTACCCGTTGAAATCGCACGGTAGAGCCATTACAACTGTGAGGAACTATGCGCGTGAATGCCGTGCGCGTTGTAGTTGGCTTCTGCGTAGGAGAACCAGGCTTCGCTATTGTCCGGCCAAAAAAGCATTAGCTGAAACGATGGTGGTGTAGGAATCATGATCTTAAGTAGCTTGGGAGTCTGACCTGTCATGGCAAGTTTAAAGTATAGGGATGAACGATAGGAAAAAATTGTACCCCAAAATACGAAAAATATATCACAATATACATAAAAAGTTAAAGCAAAACAATGATATATGAAGTTCCGAAAAGGAACAGACACACAGTTTATTGTTTGGTGTACCAGACTAAGTCAGACTCACCACCGAAGATACCACAAGTATTGTAGTTCGACAACACTTTACCAGTAACACCTTTTATAGTTGAATCGCGCACACCCAATAAAATCAAAAGTCAGAAGCGGGGAGGTTAGAAGATATGTTTGATGGGTTATCAAAATACCGAGGACTGACTGATTTAATCTGGCTAATGATCGCACGCCGTTCTGTAACGTGATCTTGTACGGATGCATGCCTGAGCGCCTTCAGCTAGGGTGCGTCCACTAAAATTAGTGAGATCAGTACCAATGTTAAAGACCTACGTAAATACTTATTTCAGCGATTTATCAAAAGTTACTACAGTATTATATCTTGTTTCAGTCTGCTTTGAAAACGCTGAAAACAGTCTATTACTTTAACGGTGTAAGTTATCTATAAACACGAACTTTAATATTTCAAACATCACTGTGGGGAGATTGAAAAATCAGAAAACAGTATGATGCTGTGAGGTGATCTGTGGTAAAAAAGAGCGGCAAAATCGCTAAAGGATAACAGGTTTCGACATTACTAATGATCTTTTCCATGTGAGGTACTTCTCACAAAATCTACCGACCTCTACATTTTATCTGAATGCTTGACTCTACTTACACTGAAAACCTTGATAATCAATATATGGAAGTCCGTTACAATTTGGTTTTTTTTCTCGATCATAACTGAACTTGTTTCCCAACGAGGATAAGGACACTCTGAAACTTACTCAACGTCTAACCACGAAATCAGTTCGGGGATTCAAATTCAAACCTTATGAAGAGCGCCTCTGATCACTTAACCTTTACCTGTTAGAGTATAGGCGTCTTAGAGGTGACCTTCTTATGGCTTACAGTATTCTTAACAGTTCTGGAGATCCCTTTAAACATTGACTTAAACCTAGTCATAATACTAACCTAAGGGGTAACACCCAGAAACTGGAGACCAAACATAGCAGAAAGGACTGTATACACAACTTCTACTCCTTAAAAGTTGTCGGATGCTGGAATTCGCTGCCAACTGAGCTAGTGGAAGCGACATCCCATGAGTCCTTTAAGAGGAAACTTGACCTATTCTTATGGACTAAGGGCAAGCCATGTAAGGTGCTGATCGCGAGGTGTGACTTCGGAGTTAGCTTGTTCGTTACACTGTTCCCGTCTAACTCGAGTAGGCCTCCAATCATTCGACATTGGTCATCAACGTTGATAGTCTACAACATCTTATTATGATTTACCAATTTCCTTTATTCCTATTGTCGTTAATATACCTAGGTTCCTGCATGGAGATATTAGTGATCCACTGCTACTAGACATGGAAGCCCGTTATGAGAAAGCTTATTCTATTCCGTCCACAACAATTTGAACGGGTAGCTCAAGGTCGTACGTAGCACATCCACCGAGTTCGGAAATTAAACGCTGTCAGTTTCAGTGTATCATAGCTAGTTTCACTTCCTGGCGGAACCCCCAAACTCAATTGGTAATCCTAACTTATGACTCTAGTTTAATTGTTAACCCTTAAACTTTGTATTATAGCTGATCATAAAAACCCTCAGGGGTTACTACGCTATAGAGTTGGGTTATAACATTACTAAACTGACTTCTAATATATAAACCTAAACATTTTTTACCATAATCTATGGATAATTCGACCTATTATGTCTTAATAGTCATGTCAAAGTTATGGTCCCACTACAGTTTCTTTGCTTTTCATCGTTACTTTTTGTATAACTATACATGCATAGTCAGGTGCACGTGACTAGCCAGTAAGTCTTTAGTAATAAGAATGACAGGTTGATGAACCTGTGTTAATCCTGACAGTTTGCCTTCTGGTGAAGGTGTAGCTTCTTGAAAATGCTCACTGATTGGACTGATACCACTTGTTCGGGTAAGCCGTTCCAGTCATTGACCACTGGATGAGATAAACGGAACTCCACTTTCAGTTTATCAGATCGTCGTTTGTGGACCTTCTTGATATGACCTCGGAGATTATTAGTGCTGGAGGGAGCAAAAAGATCCGACATAATAACACCCGAATTTCAATTAAAGATACGAAATGACAGTATAAGGTTACCTCGCGTCCTATGATACAAGAAGGGGAAAAGGTCTAGGCGTTTTAAGCGCTCATCGTAAGGGAGTTTAGAAAGACCCTTCACTATTTTAGTTCCCACACACTGAATGAGGTCAAGTGAGTTAGTATGCTTAGTCAGACATGAACCAGCTGCTTGGATGTAGTACTCTAAGTGTGGTCTAACACAGGTGGGATATAAAATTCGAAACACCTGCTCGGCGAAGTGACCATGATGCACAAAACCCTTTGGTAGTAACTGTGTTGCGATGCACAGTTGATTTCAAGTCGTGACTTATTATTACTTTCAAGTCTTTATGTTTCTGAACTCATAGAAGAGATGTGCCAGCAATAGTATATTGTTAACTATTACCGTGTCCGATGTGCATGAGTACACTCTTCCTAGAATAAACATCTAAGCCCCAACCTCCAGCCCATTTAATTAACTCGTCTAGGTCAGCTTGGAGATCAAAACAATCAACCTCACTTCCAGGTTTTGATATCATCCACAAACAGTGATGTCGACGACTTAGGCAGTGACGGTAACTCGTTGACGTAGAGAAGGAAAAGTAGAGGACCTAAGATGATGTCTTGGGATACACCATTTTTGACGGGCTTCCATCTGTATAACGTTCCATTAACCCTCACTGTCTGCGGTCACATAAGAGGTTTCCTATTCATCCCTGGACAACACCTGTTATTCTGAAGCTCGATAGCTTCTGAATAAGACCTATGTGTGAGACCTTGTCAAACGCTTTGCTAAAGTCTATAAATATCTCATTGACAGACACACCGTTATTTGGGGCTGCTGTCCAATCCTCTCTCGATAAGCAGGTTGGTCAAGCATGAATACTTGTTTCGAAACCCGTGTTACTCGGAAGTTAACAGATTGTACGGATCTATGCGACTCAGTAACTTAACTCGAGTTATCTTTTCAAGTAACTTAACGACTATTCTGGTTAGACTGACAGGTCGATAGTTAGATACGATCTGTCTCGGAACATCCTTAAATATAGGACTGACTATAGCACCCCTCCGATCTTTAGGCAGTTGAGTGTGGGAAAGGGACATGTTGAAGAGCATTATGAATGGTCTTGAAGTAATATCCGCGAGAGATGACAGCAACCGTAGATGTACCCACCAGGGCCTGGTACCTTACTTGGTTTGAGATCAACTAAAGAACAGTTTCCCGTCAAATGTAATGGTCCTATGGCTGGTACCTCGGTATGATTAAGACAAGTGTTTTAAACAACACACCTATAGTAGACTTCCCTAAGATAATTTGATAAAGTTTCAGCTAATGCCAGATCTGATTCAGCCAGTAAATCCGGATTTTCGTGTAACAGTAATGGAGAAATACGATCACTACATTTTGTTCTCTATTTAACATACTAAAACAATCGTTCCCGACAAGTACGGCTACCATATGCATTTCGAAAGGGAGGGTGGCCCTTCCCCACTCTAGGCCGTATCAGGGCATTTTGGGGCAAAAATGATTGATCTGTCAGCGAGGTTCGTTTTAAGACACTGCAATTTTAATTCCTGAAATACTCTCCTCCCTGCGGTCCGATTTGCTGTCAAACACAGATGTCTCACTCTGTTTCCTTATTTCTACTTTTGAATTTAAGCCTTTACCTTATTATGTCTCTTAACCGCATCATCTAAACTTCTCGGGCAGTCTGTTTTGCGTTATGTAAATCCGGAACTGAAACTGTAGATCCACATACCTTAGGGCTACCTATACTTTCTTCTTTTTTCTTGTAACAATGCCTAGATCTGTGTGTTTGTTATCAGCTTCTCTAATGAGGTCCACCTCGATGGTCTTATTCAAATCTAAAGCTGGGCTCATCATAACATTCATCATCGGTATACTATATTCCTGCCGAGATTTATATGTTGTGTACTAGTGTCCTGTGGCGAATTCCCAATCTGTTATAGTATTTAGCTTACATATGGTGACATGCGAGTACTTTATATGAATGTTTGTATTAGCTTTGACGTACGGATAGTTAAAGGTAGAAAAAACCTAGTGATTACTAACGTTTCTAAAAAAATTTTATATGGTGTTCTCAGTGCTCTTGGCTCTGTACATCTTCAAATATCAATGAGTATGGCTAGAGTTGTGGCAAACACTTATGAACTCAGCGAAAAGACGTTATTGCACAATACTTAACTTAGTGTGCTAAATCCGCACTACTATAAGGCGACACTGAGATCTGTTTTTATTAAACAAGGTGATGGTTGATTTTCTGTCAATACGACGTGTGACTGCAACCAAATGCTGGTTCATAATTCATCGTATGAAAAGTGTATAACAGATCGTGTGTTATATTGTCAGACATGTAAACCAATGACTGAAAAAAACTTCAAGAGTGAGGTACTTATTTCCGTTTAGTTAAAGGATCCGTTAATCCACATAACTGTATCGAACTCTTTAAGAGCGTACCAAACTGTCTCGGTTTGGTTACCTAAAAATATGTACATAAAGTAAGGAAAATGATAGTTACCACTTATTGAAGCCACTATTAAGACTTCAAATTCATTCACCTTAGTTGAATTCGTATGAGTACACAATAGGGCTACTTCAATCAACTAATCCTTTAGTGACAAAACCAGCATCCCCAAGGTGTGTTTAGTCATTAATATATACTATTGTTAGCATGACATAGGTTGGATTAAAGCATGTTCCATGCACGATTGCGTTGGTGCACGCTGATTGACTAATTCTTATCCAATCAGCGCTAGTTGATCCTTGGAGAGGACTCTAGAACCATGTAAAAACTATAAATATACTAACGTATTTCTTATTGCGCTTCTTACTTCCATCTACCCTTGTTATTCAGAATATAATACCTTTCCTGTTTAACTGTGTTCTGATTTGGGGACTTGACGAGTGAATTGGTGTCCAGGAATACTAAACAATAGGAATAGCTGGGTCGTAATAAGAGAAATTATAACAGCTATCAATATAGTAGAATTATAACTGTGTATTAAATCTTCAGTTAAAAGTCATGTTTGAGGTACTACTGCCGTTAATGGTTGGATTGATATGGGGAAGTACTAATATCTGTATGAAGTATAACTCTAATAAAACACTCAAGGTAAGAATCCTTGTTTCATGAATTGTCTCGTAGCTTCTAGCGTTTATTTTTTTGAATCAATCCGCCTCTATCTTGTTGATGTTTGGATTCAGATATACACGTAAGTAATCACGAAGAAAATTTTGACTGTTTTAGGCTTGTCAAGAGGTGTAGCGATAGCAAACTCAACAGCTTTACTAGCGTCAGCTCTCACAAGCTCATGTGTTTACCATGACAAAATGAAATTTAGCGGTACGTTACCATCAACTAAAATTATCTGTCCATAACTTCTAGGGTCTGTTGGAGTTGTGCTGATATGTGTCGGAACTGGTTTACTCAACAGCTGATGAGTATTATAAATTAAATTTTGTGACACAGTTTTGGAAAAAAAAAGCCAAAAATCATTTATACACATTTTCAAGTTAGAATGACAGATGAAATATAGTGTGAAAATAAGTGTATGTCGTCAAATTAACCACTGTAATGGTGCCGTCCATTAAAGTTTACCAAAAAAAAGTTCAGGGCAGATACGCGGTTAAGAAAAGAAATAAAACATTGTAATCGCAAGACTGCTGTCGCACAAATAAATCCGAGCCCCATTATAGTAACCAGCCACGATATAAGTAGGCAAACAGCATTTGACTTAAATGAAAATTGAGGTGCATTTTCATAATCCGAAGGAAGAACGCGTAGTGGCACACGAGGTAAGAGACCTGTAAAATAAACATTGAGAATAATGCCGGGAACCAGTGTACACAAACATATTTGCTGAAAACCTTGTAATGCAAATACCAATTGTATTGTGTTTCTCGTGGTTTCACATTCGTATCAAATCAGTGAGAAACTCGAGGTTCCAGTTTTGTTCTCCCCCTAATGTCCCTGAACGGATAAGTGGGAGGGTCTTCCCCCCTGTTGGAATGCTGTCATATGACCACGGGTTTATAATCACTACAGAAGCCCAACTTACTGCCTTTTTGTTTACGAAAGTGAGAGAACCAGTAGTGAATGTCGGACGCCTAAACTGCGAAGGTGAGTCCAGAAGATTCGCCCAGGGGGAGTCGGAGAGCCCTAATTGTGAGCGAATGGTACGTATGGGTTCCAGGGTCCCAAAAGATCGACTGTTGTATGAACCTCTTTTTGTCACTAGCTACCATAAAACTGCATTTCTGGACGTTCATCGACTACCTTGTAGATTAGACGCTCTAGTCAATGGCTATTAAGAATACAACTGTTACAATCTCTCTTATTACGACCCGAATACCCTTTTGCTTAGTATTCTTGGACACTGCTTCACTCGACAAGTCCTCAATTCAGAACACGGTTGAACAGGAACGTAATTATATTCCAAGTGAAGGGGTTGGATGGAAGTAGGAATCACAATAAGAAAAAACGTTAGTAATTTATAAATTTTACATAAGATTCTTGTCTTCTCCAGGTCTCTGCTAGTGCTGATAGACAATCAGCATGTCCGAACACAATCCTCCATGGGGCATGCTTTAATCTAACCTCTATCCCACTAAGGAGAAGCTACTTTGACTTAGATGCCCAACAACTTATATGCGTGGAAAGTCTTGAAATCAATTACTGCTCTATGTATGACACTCATATTCATGACAAGTGGAGTACTACATACTTGCTCAGTCTTTCAATTCCTAAAAGTTCTTTTACGTGCGTTTCCTCAGGGATCATGTGGCATGTTCCTCCAGTTCTTTTGGTGTTGTTCTAGACACCAGCGCAAACGGATAGCCGGTTATTTGCTGTTAGGTTAGAAGGGTTCACGTTAATTATAGGGAGTCGCTCTAAGAAACGATACCTTTGCGTTGTTTCTGCCTAAACCCCGACAGATTACAAACCAGACGCAATTTAAAATGGGTTCCACCATCGAATAAATAGTCTCTAGAAAACAGGTTCGACAAATATGGTAATGCTTGACGGTTCGAATGCGTAGTTGAGATTTTCTTAGTCGCAGATAGGAAAACAGTAACTGTCATCTGCAGCATTGCGTAGACAAAACTCTATTTTTAGCCACCGACTTATTCCAGCACCCGATGCCACGCGAATATAGCCTCTGTCAGGGAAGTCCTACTTACTGCCTTCTCGTGGCGGGAGTGTTCACAAAAGTGAGAGGACAAAAAGCGAATGTCCGGCGCTTTAACCGGGTCGTTGGACACTGAAAGTCCAACTAGGGGAGTTGGAAAACCCTTATTCCAAACCAATGGTGCACATGGGCTCCAGTATCCTGAGGAATCAAATCGCGTATGAATCAATTGTTGGTCACCAGCTACCATGGGACTGCATCTCCTTACGATGCTCCACTGCCTTGTAGGTTAGACCTTTAGGGTCAAAGACTCGGGGTGTGGACCCCTAAGAAAACTACCTGCTTCAGTCTGGGCACCTGAGCAGTATCACAGCCCTCACACAAATCAAATAAAATTTGTGAGGCGCATATTTATCTGGTGCTATTTGTACCAATATTTATGTGTTTAAATAAATAAACTCTGAGACGACATTCGTAGAACATATCTAAGCCATTGAAGTCTGTGTTTCAATGTGGTAACACCAATTGAATTATCGTCTCTGCGCCCGAACACACGATGCCGAACCTCTGCATTACTAACATGGTGTTGCCACTTGATGTCAGCAATCCTTCGGAGACAACGATGATCAAAAACAGAGAGTTGTTTAACATCCTCAGCTCGGAGAGGCGATGTTCCACAAGCATAGAGCAAAACTGCTCTCACCGACGTGTTGTAGATCCGACCTTTTACAGCCAGACTGAGATCACAAAGGCACCAAAGATGGCCCAGATCGGCATTAGCCGATCTGACTTTCATTTTACGTGAATCGATCTCATCATTCTCGACAAGACCAGCACTTGTACAGCTACCTAGATACACGAACCTCTCAACTACTTCAATCTGCTCACCATCCAGGGTGAGTACAGGATCAGAATCTTGCCAGTTTTGTAGGAGTTCTTTGCACTTGGAGGGTGCAAAGCACATATCCTACCTGCGGAAACTGATCGCCAACTGATTAAGTGTGGATTGCATGGCTTGAGTATTACTGCACAGTAAGACAATATAATCCGCATACTCAAGGTCGAGAAGTCTTTCTCCAGGCAACATACCCATACCACAATTATCTACATTCATCGGAGCTGTTCCCAGAACATCATCGATAGAAAAGTTGAGGAGGAATGGTGAGATTAGACAACCCTGTCTAACCCTACTGCTTAAATGGAACAATGGAGAGGTGTTTGTATATAGGGCCTTTAAGATGTTGATAAACTTCAGGAACACCCTTCTTCAATAGACAATCTCAGAGAACAGTCCTGTCCGACGAATCGAAGGTAGCCCTGATGTCAAGAAACAATACGATTGTTGGCCTGTGATAAGTATTACGGTGTTCTAACATTTGGTGAAGGGTGAAGATATGATCAATGCATCCTCGACCAGAACGAAAACCACCCAGTTCTTCGCGAGTCAATCTTTCTCAGGTTTTCAACAATCTACGTAGTATGACAGAAGCCAATAGTTCGAACGCAATTGGAGTAGACTTATCCCCCGATAGTTGTTACAGACATGAAATGAATTCTTTTTAAAGATAGGGACAACTATTGACTCATTCAATGATGTTGGAACACTCTTTAATTGTCGGACCTTTGTAGACCACTCAGTCAATTCCTTAATCAAAAAGTCACTACCATCTTTAAAAAGGGCTGGTGGTAAGTCATATGGCCCCGGTGGTTTGTAGGGTTTCAAGAGCTGGAGTTCTTTGCGGACTTTCGCCTCGTTTGGTGGATCAGTCGTCACCGGAGCAGCAGGCCAGTTGAACTGCCCTTCAAAGAATTCTGCCTATCGTCCAAGACGTCGATACATGTTAGTGATTGGCATCCCGTCATCCTCACAGAATGTTTCACTCACACCAGACTTCTTGTTGCCAGTGTCTCGGATGAGTTGGAAGAGCTTCCGGCAGTTACCAGATGCAGCTGCTGCTTCCATCTCATTGGCACGCTCCGACCACTAGGCTTCTCGGTCCTTACGCAAGCTTTGCCCGATTTCATTACGTAACAGCCTTCGTTTGTGGTCATACTCACGGTCACCCGGAGTAGACCGACGGGCTTCGATGAGTTGTAAGGAGCCAGAAGAAACCCAGTGCTTATAAGCTGGACAGAGGACAGTTAAAAGAAGACATGTCCCTTGATATTCGTTGCATCGATGATGTAAACCGTTTTTAAGGAAAAAGACGAAGACCACTTCATTCCAATATGTTTGAGAACACTGCTTTACAAACCTTCCCAAACAACCCAGCCGGTTCCCTGATCAGAAGTTTTCCACAGTCCTTAAAGAGGACCTGGTGGTTTACGGCACTTTGGTAGTCAGATTTCCTTGCGGAATCCCTATTGTTAAGTGAACTCGCTGTCACCGCCTAGAGAGGACAGGGTAGTCCGACCGACGTTGGTGGGGTAACGGACTAGCTGTACTGTCCTTTTTGAAACTCTACAATCCAGGACTTCACTAGAGGTTATTAACAGACCTTCCATCAGCTTGACAGACTGCTTCACTCATGCCAGAATTCTAGATGCCAGTGGCTCGATTGAGTTAAATTAGCTTCCAGCAGCCACTGTTTCTTATTAGCGCTCCGATCATTATGTTTCATTGTGTCATTTTAATATTTCTGAGACTGGACAATGTATGTTCGGGCACAGTGATGAAAATGCAGTTAATGTCACTATCTTCACACAATGGTTTTAGTAGATTGAACATGGTTTAGCAATACCGCCGTAGCGGGCTTTAGGTGAAAAAAGTGGTATGAGAATAAACTGTATGGGACTGGCATCTGTTGGTCTGTTGACGTCTAAATGGCATGAGACATTGCCAGATATGGTTCAGAACACAAACTAGTGGCGACTCCGATGTAGTTTACTTCCACATTCTCAATAATAAGGAGTTCAATGGGTTGGCAGAATTATTTCTTGTTTTATTTTAACTGAACTATTTCCCCCATTGTTTCTATTCATTTAGCTGTTTTTGATTGTGCTCTATCTTTAATCTATTGACAATTTCACTTTCGTTTTTTATGACGCATATCTACTTTCGAGCCTATTTGTACCAGTAAGTGTATTAAGTACACGAATTCTTAATCGTTTACTGTAATATATTAAACTGTCTTTAAAAAATTACACACTATGCTTCACTTTCCCACTCGCGTTGCATTCTATGCTTCTAAGCAAGGGGTTCGAATAGATATAAGCCGTCGGTTTTACAGAAAATAAAACTTTGGTGTAAATCCATGTCTTAGATTATTTGTCGAATACGAACGGAATCTGGCGGGTAGATACTTGTAATAAACAAATATTTATCGCAATTATATTGACGGATATAGTAATCAAGGAAACGTATCTGTTTCTTTGTGCCACAGCACTTTAGGTTCGGTCGCTGCCAGTATTTGAAAGCTAAGGTTCCCGTTGTTAAATTACGAGTTTGAAGCCTGCTACATATAATTCAGTTTACTTGACCGGTTAGCGTTACTAGCTCACATAAAAAGGTGTAGACAAAAGCCAAATACATGGGGCTGCAATTGGTTACTGAGTTGCATAGACTTTAATCATAATCTAGTACAAACAAATAGACTCTAATCTATTTCGATAGTGTAATAAGCAGAGGAAGATTATCAGAACTGTGTGATATATAATTATTATCCTTGTTTTCTCTTACCCCCCCCATATCCAGTCTTGTTGACCTTTTTTTATATATAAATGTTCTGAACAAGTATATGTGTGATGAGATTGTTCGGAATGTATTGCGCTAATATATCACACAGTTCTGATAATCTTCGTCTTCTTATCACACTATCGAGATTGCTTTAAATTTCTCTGATCTATGTTTTTGTTTTTATGTTCCTATATAGCTCTTAATAACATCATCTTCCTTTTACTTGATAAACCAAAAGTACTTTGCACATAAACAGTTCGAGAGTGGAGTCTGTCAAACGAGGGCAGTGAGATACTGATCGGTTCACAGTAGGTCCAGGTTATCCATACTAGCAAACGATAACAAAGAGAAATATTACTTATATAATTTTATTCTTTTTAGTCTTCATGGGAGCACAGTAATTTTTTCAGAAATATGTATACATTGGTGGACAAATAGTAACTCATCAAGGGCGCGATTTTCAGTTTATAGCAAGTTACGTAGTCGACACCATAAAAACCTATTACTGGGGTAACAACCACTGGATGTAAATCACTGGGGCAGATATCACGCATAATTTCCAGTATTAATTAGAAGTATGGACTTACGCATGTTTGACCAAATGAAGTCAGCCATCCCATCCAAATCGACATCTGAACCGGAATACTCATTGAAAATCTTTCCGTTAACGATAATCTTGAGTTTTGGGACAAACAACATACGTAGACTCCATTTGTGAATGAGATAATCATCCACCTGGATACCGTAGACTGGAAGTTGAGGATATGCTCGAGCTAAAGCATTTATATAGGGCAATGAAGCTTTAGAAAATCGACAAGTAGTAGAGAAAATGAACAGAATGTAGCATTCATGTAACCTCAGTTGGTCAGGATGTTTAACATGGTTTCCAGGATCCCAAGTGAATTGTGAGTTGGACCAAGGCGAGTTGAATAAATCTGATAGTTGTGCTTTATGCAGGAATTTAACGTTGCTAGAACTACCATTTATCCAGTTAAATTTCAAGAGTTTGCATTGTGGAATGATATGGGATTGTTCTGTCATAGAAATCTGAGGCGACCATACAGATTGGAAGGAACTAATTTCTGTCATGAAAAAGAAAGAATGAGTTAACTATTTCTTGTCTTTTACAACCAGTGTAATACAAAGCTGGTTTATGGGCAGTATGCCGAGATTTTGTAGCCAACTAGACCATCATAGCTGATGAGATTTCCAAAATGAATGAAGTGTTCGAAGTACTCAACTGCTTCACTTTTTATTGTGGGGTGTGCTACTGATGTCGATAGATATAAGTAGTATGTATCATCAGTCGAAAGTGAAATATCTGGTGGCAGAAAGTTAAGAAGATCGGAAAAACGAGAACAGAGAATGATCGCTATGGAAATGAAGGAACAGTGGAGTCTGAGACGATTGGTTGACATTTTGCAAGCGAGGTATTTATGGTACCTCGGATTTTACTAAGAAGTTCTGTAATTTTGTGTTGAAATACATTTGGTTGTCCCTGCTTGTTTTCTCGTTCACTGCACTATGACCAGTCTGTGCGTTAACCTAGACCAGTCCAAAAGCGATCTTTTGTGTTTGTCAGAAAGAGGTTTAGTAGAGATCGTAGTAATTTAATAGTTGATTTCATGAGTCAATTAACGCTAGACCACCACAGGAAATCTGAACGCACTAAAGGGGCGTTTCGTCCTGTTATGGGACTCTTCAGCAGTGCATATCCACAATCCCGCTTGTGGGATTCGAACCCAGGACGTTCGGACTCGCGATTAACCTCTACACCACTGAGCCGGCATCCAACGGTGTTAATGTCTAACTTCAAGCAACCAACGAAATTGCGTCACCGTCCACCATTGTCTTTAGTGAGCTACTAGTGAGCACGTGATTATTATCAGAAGAGGTTTTGTGATTCCAGCGGATGAAAACATCAGGAAGCGCTGAAAGTGGATAGAATGCACACTGAGAAAGGCACAAAACTGCGTCATAAGGCAAACCCTCACTTGGAATCCTTAAGGTCTACAGTGGAGTGGAAAACCAAAAAACACATTACTCCGAGAAATGGAGACAGACATGAGAAGAATGAACAACAATTGGGTAGAATTAGAAAGGAAGGTGTGGGACAGAGTAGGTTGGAGAATGTTGGTAGGCGGCCCATGCTTTATTACGGGTAACAGGTGTTCAGATTTCCTACGGTAGTCTAGCGTTAATTGACTCATGGAATCAACTATTACATTTCTCATTAAGATGGAAAAGAACGCATTTCAATTGCGCCCGTATTGTTGCACAAAGGATTTAAGAAACTACATTATCCCTGGTTTCCTACTATATAGGATTACGTCAAATGGGTAAGCGAGTCCCCGAAAAGATAATCAAACCCTGAAAATGAGGTCAAAAAATTGTGATTTCTAGAACATCCATAACGAAACCAAATAACGAGAGTTGTAATAAGTAACCCTGACGAGCACTACTTAGGGTTGACAAGTGCCGTGAGTTCGCTATCAATTTTAACTGCTGACGTTCATGTAGGGAGACTTTAGAAGGGTCAGAAACTTTTATGTAATTTCAGTGGCAAACTGTTACAAAACCTGTCGGCCAACTAAATCAGGCAGAACCTTCAAGTCACTAGAATAGTTACACTTAGTTGTCACCATGTTTGTTTCTACTCAGAAGTTACAAAATATCCTCTTATGGTATTGAGTTTTCTAAGTTAAACTTTGCGGAATTTTCAATGTCGTTTTGGACTTTATGAAACAAAGGATGGTCCTGTAAAAAACAATGAAATTTCCGCAATCAAACCATAGACATCAGAGAACTAACAACACTAACATCATCCGTCGTAGTTATCAACATGTATTAATATTATTAAATTAAACTTAACCGAGTCCTGGTCAAACAGCAGCAGGGACCTTAACGTGGGTTCGATTAATCGAAAATAAAACTCATACCAAATCTACTAAATAGCTTAATTCATTAGCCTGTTAGAATCTATTTCACTAGTATCCCGTCAACACGATTTTATGGGGAGTTCAAGATAAAACTTAGAACTTAACTTGCACCAACTCCACTAAAGCATCACAAGCGAAATTCCTCCTATGTAAATTACAGAACCAAAACACAACACAGAATCGTCCTTACCAACAGTGATATAAAATTAAATAGTTTCTGTTGGAGGCCTATGCTCGGTTGGGGGTGGCATGCGTACGTAAGTTTTTGTTGATATAAGCCAGGATGATATAGTTAAGTCCGAACCAATTGAGATACAAAAAATGAAATAAGACTCCATATCCACGTTACTCAGAACGTTTGCATTGTATGAGGCCGGCAACATACAAACGACATTTAGACTCACTTCACTATTGCAGTTTACCACTGGAATGGGAGTATAAATTTATTTATCTGTCATATGGAACAGGATCTAGGTAGCGCCACCAAACCATACATGTACTAATTTTAGAAGTACATCCGAGGTTTTGTAGAAACTTCTGAGTAAACAAAAATTTTAAAAATTCGGAACTATTCACATTGAATGTGATATACAGCAAACCCAAAACAATCCCGTTTGTGATATTGACATCTTTCACTCACATCGAAAAAACCTAAATGATGGGCTCAGATGTCAGGACCTAATTGTACCCCGGCAGAGTTCACTATTGAGCTTAGCTATCTGGAGATATTAGGTGTACGACTGTGGCTGAACAAGCCAATAAAATATTGGGAACAAAAACAGAATTAACAACTACTGGAACAGGTAATCAAAATGACGTACTTTGAGGGTAAAAATACGATATTAGAGGGAACAACTATATCCCCTTTGATCAAGAAAACCACTAAAATACAAACCGCACTGAAGCTGATAATTAAGTAAATATCTCAGCAAAATATCGCTTAACTCCATACGTTTGAAAAGCAGTGTTTTTTCAATATCTCATCTTATTGGTTAGTGAACTCCCCGTTCAACATAGTTCACATAATTGGTAAACAGTGATCATTCCATCAATAACGATACATGTTAAAACAAACTGAATCTTCTTCTGAATAACATTTCTAACTCAAAATTGTTTTTAAAACGAGAATGTACATTTTCTCATGACTAGTACTTACGCCAGTTGGTCTTGCTCTTATAAATTGTATTAACTCGGGAATTCTCATGATTTTCATTATCTGGAGGGTTTTTTTCTGAATGCACTTTAAGCTCGCCCAAGACACCAAACCAGTATATAGTAGTCGATAAGAATGTTAGAATCCCGCGCATCTTCAAGGTCCATGTGGAGATGAAACAATGTTCCTACAGTTGAAGGACCTTTCCATGGAGTTGCAGCTTAAGTTTCGTTCACTAGTAAATGCTGACTCGTTAAATTTGAAATTTCTGTAGATTACATGACGAAAATAAAACACAAAGTGAACTCTATAAAAGTAAATTGAATATGAGTCATGCAGAATGGTTTTTTGCGTACCAGAAAACTCGGGCAAGAAAAAATGGACAAAGTCCTCATATATAATTCTTGTCTTACAGTCCTTATGAAATTCACTTATTTTTAGGCTTTCTAGCAAGTCTCCCACGGGGACCGAGGGCTGTGTTGATGCAATACAGTAAAGGAAAGCAATGATAGGTAATAGTTGAGTATGATGTTATCATATTGCTTTCATAGATAATTAAGCAACATGGATGACAACAGTTGTTTGACATTTATTGTTAGATTAATTTTGAAAGTGAAAATCCCTCCATGCATACATTTGTGATTTCTTCCTTGTGGTTTCTTTATTTGTATATATTGTTAACTTTTTTGATGCTAATTAAGTCTGTAACGTTTAATTTTCTTGGTTTTCTTATCGTTTTTATTGAGTCTCTATGTTCCTTACTGAACTGTATTTAGTTTGTTTTAATTGTTATCATTCTGGCGGCTGCCACATTGACTGCTCGCTCTTTGATTGTGCGGTTTGATTTTGACTAGGATCGTGCATTTTTTGTTGTAATTTGGAGCACTTTCCCAGATATTGAAACACTTTGTGTTATAAAGCAGCCGCTCAAACTGAATGTTACATGATCTATCCAGAAAGGATAGAATAACACTCACCTTTTGGGTTTTTTCGGTAACTTTAATGTATTTCTAACCACTTTGCTATTCATTGTAATTTAGATTGAATATTTCGGTATCAATTGTCGGCTGAATAACTGGGTGGTAATATTTGTTTAGGTAAATCTGTACATTTGTATATATGATGAAATTTAGAACCGTTATTACCTCCAAAACACCTTGTTCTGATTTCGACCAGGGGGTGCGCGTCTCTAACTTTACTCTCCAGTTATTCAACAATTCAAACCTACTTAGAAACTAGGTTTGGATATTACATTTACTAATTTTCGTTTAAAATGCGTTTTATAAATATTTTATAACATCTGCGAGGTACACCTTCAACTCGAGAGAATGGATACCGTTTAACCATAAAGTTAGTTGTTTTCAAAAAGCCAAATGGATGCTTGTAATAATGACTAATCAACAGCCGTGAAAATAATTCGAGGAGAATAAAAAAAATGATTATAAATGATTGGAAGGAGGACTGACATCAAAGAAGAATGTGGTATTAGACAAGTCGTTTTTGCACTCACAGGTTAGGTTTGAACTTCTGGATAGCTGTTGTTGCCTATACGCGACAGGGACTTAAAACTGATCGGCGCTATAGGATAGTGAAACGCGTGTTGCGCATATATAATCTTCATGATTCCCTCGTGTGTCAACCTTTCGGACGAAAAACGATAGTAAAAATGCAGCGTAAACTACTTTTCCACCGATTTGAAGAGAATATTCATAACTTCTGAAGTTCCATGAATGCAAATCACCTTTCCTAACTGATGGTCTACTTCGTCATTAGTACTGCTCTAATAACAGGCCCAATCCTAAAATTGTAGATTTGTCATGGTATAACTGTCCAATCTATAGGATCTTACATGGAAGTCACCTCCTTGTCTACACCTACATATCGTTTCGTAACAATCACCAATATATAATGGAGTACACATTTAGGATGAAGATGGAACGATATATTTATTATGAATAAAAGTTATAAGCCACACAATAATCCTCACGCCTGCAAGGCGAAGCCATTTCGATTCAGTGAATTCGAATCCATTTAATTCATTCTTGACATCTTCTTCATCGTCGAGTTTTTTCTTCGCGTTAAATGTTGAATATCTATTTTCCTAGTTATCCCGTGATTACCTTTTAGAATTGTGTGGTTGAGGCCTAATTCCACTGCAAATTCATGCAAAGTTGAGAACTTCTGGAAGACGCAACTCCAAGCCCAAGAATATCGGAAGAATTGATGATGGCGTAGGACGAAGTCTCATGTTTCATATGTGTTTTCTTTGGTACACCAAGAGGTTGCTGAAAAAGGGGAAAAGACTGAAGGCAGGATAGACAGTGTTCATGACTAGTGAAGTTTGGTCATTTGTGGTGGATTAATTAAGGTATGAATATCAATACTTATCCTCTTTTATTAAGTCAATTTCCAAGCAAGTCTATTTCATTAGGTCAAAGAAAACAAACCAATGTATGGCGATGAGTAAAAACGTAGTACAAAGGGAAGTGATCTGAGAGAGCCGAAACTTTAGGAATGTTTTTTTGAAAATTCGTCAAGAAAACAATGTTCGAATGCCAACTGGATTTTTTTCTTCAAGATTATTATAACCCATTTTTAATGTTATATCTTTTGTGGAACTATGAATGGACTTCTACCTAAAGTAATTGTCCAGTCCTGCTTCGAATAGGATTTCTTGGTACAAAATGTAGTCAATTTGATGCTAAAAACTGTCCAAAGAGGTATTTACAGTAAGAAATTAGTATCAGTACCATCGGATAAGTACATCCCACCAGACCACAAGGAGCTCTAATTAAAGAAAATGTTCTCTCTTACAAACATTGGTGTACTGAAGCAATCTCCCCATCGTCACGTTTCCTCGTCAGTGGCACCACCCACCCTCCTTTTGTGATGTTAGTCTCTCTTAAGTTTGTATTTTGTACGAATAGTACTTTAATCCAAGCTCTATAATGTACACATTGTTGGAATGCACTGTCTCTACTAGTTCCATGTTCAGGTATATAAAGCCTTTGTATTGTGGACTAGATTTCCATTTGGCATATCATTACTCAAAAATTGACCAGTGGTATAATTTATAGCATAACGGTCATGTGGTTTATGATTTAGAGGTGATAAGGACAGGTAGATGATCAAAGAATATGAAGGAATTTGAGGTTGCAAAATTTAATAGTAAGACGGTAAGTAAGTAAGAAAACAAAACATTCGAATGATAATTGAAATAAACTACTTGTAGCATGAATTGGAAGGACCTCACACTTATTTAGGGTATTCAGTGCTGAGGCAAGTGTACTAATACCAAATAAGACCTTGATTCAATAAGTTCACCCAATAAGCCGGTCAGTTATTTTCTTCACTCCTACTACCAGGGCTATGAGCTAATTCATTATCAATTAGTGATACACCCTACCTAATTTGTTACTTTAGCTTCCCACAAGAATCGACTTCCTTGGGAACGTCGAATATCCGAGGAAGTGCCGCGAGCGGTCTACTCAAAACCATGTTGGTGAGGTACGACTTTTCGATGCTCTGTCCGGCTATCAGGTGTTTAATCACCTGCCTCTTGAGTCTCTTTCAAGTAAGAAATAAAAAAGAATCTACTTTCAAGGCAATGTTGAAAATCAGTTAGACGTGAAGAACACTTCACCCTCTCTGATAAACCCACGACAGTCTTATAGGTCACCACTGAAATACTTTCAAACACGTTCAGGCAAACTAAAAGACGATCTATTTGCGTCATCCATAGAACCCAATGTAACACTTACTTTGCGCTTACAATAGACCCCAGTGTGGTGATACAAGCGCGAAAAGACCAAATATCAGCACGACCGAGCAAAATCAATAATTCAACATAGCTCTCCTGACAGAATGGCAATATCCAATGTGCTTTTTAATTATCCATAAATAATTTCTGTCACAGAAACGACACTGAAAGTGTTGTCTGCAATTTACGGTTTAAGTCTCATCTTAGCTGCTTACTGCCCTATGCAAACAAACAAGAACTATTACATGCTTCATAAGGACCTTGGTGACGGTTCAGACTATCTAGAGTGTCAGCATAAACCAATAGGAGTATATCGCCAACTAATTATTGACGTGTAATGCATATTTATAGGTTCACAGTGCAGAAGGACGACAGAGCTGGACAAGTAATGGGTAAGTTCAACTCTCACAACCATCCTACTTGGAGTTATAAGTCATATTTTTGTTGTTTGATTATTAACAAGTAGTTAAACTATTGTGTTTTTCATGTGCCTGCTTGTAAACTTTTCTCAGTGCACTAACTGTGTTTGTGTTGTACCCCTCCAAAATAACTTAATTTTTGCAGACATAATACATAGGGTATACATATGCCGTCCCAGTGACTACTGAGCTATGGTGACGTGCGCCAACTTTTGAACCTATGTGGTCTTATGAGTTTTGAGTCACAAGTGAATTGAATAAAACGGAAACTAAGTGACAACCTCTGTTGAGGCTTAACATGAGTGACAGAAGAGGCACTCATTTCGACCCTAGGTCATCAGTGCAGGTCAGACATTTAATTGATCAAGTCCAGAGTATTAAGATACAGACAAAATAATCGACGCGGGACAGAAAACGTAGTATTTGAATTTTGATTAGCGACCCCGGCACACAATATTGATCGGTGATCACAAGTAATAAAAGAACTGAAAAAATCGTCAGCGCATGGTGGGATAACTGAATGAGTAGCGGAGGCGCAAAAAGCAAGTTTATTTGATATTGGCTACTGTAAGTAACTTCAAACTACCTTATGTATTGACTCGTGAGAACTTCTAAATCCTATAGGCAATTCCATAAAGTGATCAGTGACTCATTTGCCTGCACTAACAACGTCAATAATAGAATCAGTCAATAAATGTTGTTTTTACAAAGCTGTTGTAGTTGTACGTTACTGGAAGACAGTTAAATACTTTCGCAACAGACAATTAAGTTTGTTGATTTGTTTAGAAGCACAGCACATCAGAATATTCAAGTCCTGCGTAGGGAGAAGCAGTGAGGGAAGGTTGTTTAGTTACCGACCTTTATGTGAGGAGTAGTATGGCTGATATTGTTCTGCAAAGTTGTCTTTGGTCGATTCGACAAGCGCCAATTGTCTGATATTGATATTGATATGATAAGCATATTTTTCTTCCTTAG